TTCATCTCATTCACAAGTTTTAAGCTATGATTCATATTGACGTTAGGGGATGCTTACAGTGAATATTGCAGAGATTAGTAGTTTTTTCCCTGTCATTTTTTTGCTGTTGTAGTAGGTGGTAAATGAATTTTTAACCACCCCAAATCCAGTCCTAATAGATTAATAGAAAGCCATTCTAACTTTTCCTTGCTGTGCATGTGTGTGTGTGTTTAGAAGTGAGTAGTTAATAATAGAGTAGTCGCCACTGAATACGCTCCTGTCGTCATTTTAGGGGGGTTTGGTTGGTCACCTAGCGACTCTTCAGGTGAGTGAGGGTCCCATTCTACGTGAGCAACCACTGTCGCCGTCTTCATTCGATCGTCAGGGCAGCTGGGAACGTGGTGAAATCGACTACACTGGTGCGGACCGATTCTCGAACATTCAGGCTGCTCTTGACAAACGTCTGAACAAATGAAGACCTTCCGACCATCACTTGGCCTCAGTAGATTATCACCGATTTGTATTCTACCGATACTGCACTCGATCGCGCTAGTCCCTTGCCCACTTTTCAGCACACGCCTTCCGACAATCTGGTTTTGTTAGTCTTTCTCTTCGCACCTTTCAATTCATCTTGCCTTCTTCCTCTTTATCCTACTTTTTATTCTTTCCTTTAAACCACTTTGTATCATGACAAGATTACGCAAAAAACCCAACAATTTTTTGTGCATTCATGAGGCAATGCTAATGGTGTTAAATGTCAAAATTGTCATTATTGCAATACAAAAGCTTTATCAATCGGTACCCTTTCATCCTTTTTCGTTACATTTAACTTGGAAAAGTGGGCTTAGGTCTACCTGAGGTGATGCTCTCACTTTGGCTTCCTTCAGGTGACTTTTTTAATCATTCTGTTCTGTTGTTGAAATTGTTCATATCATTCATTGTAAGCCTCACTATCACCTCTGACTACCAATTTTGCTGTAATTTCGTAAAATTGGGTATTGTTATGCTATTTTTCGATCACCGAAATTTTTATGATTGTTAAAGATGCATGAGTACAGATACGAGTTACAAAAGCCGCTTGATCTTTGTCGTTGAAGTGCATAAATTTGGATAACTTTACACTAATTATGCTTTCTAGTTTTTCTCTTTGCACATTTTATTCAAGTTTTGAATAAATTTAAGCTTTACCAACGAAACTACTCCATAAGCGAGCAACAAGTTCAATTAGCAATGTCTGGCATTCCTAGCGTTTAATTGGTTTGGGATGGATAGATTGGTTCCAACATATAGCATCCACAGATCCCCGTCCGCATGAGTAGAAAGTCTGTGACTCCCACTTATTGGAGGTCTAGATCCCTTACTAACTATAGGCAAGAGTTATGAAACTGGTGACGGTGATGTCTTTCAGCAGCTTAAAGTTGGTGTCCCATCAGCCCGCTTTCTTCACATCTAGTATTGGCATCAGGCTCACTAAAACGCCTATTTTGGCGCCTTAGTCAGACGTGCATCCCACTACAAGATTCCCCACTCCGTGCCCTAGCTTGGCGACCAGAAGATGTATGCGCGTACGTGCGTGCCTACATAAACGAGGACCAAGCGCGTCGAAACCACTGGTGAAGGAAGAGCGGTGCGAGGACGGGATTAGCGCCCCCTCGGCTGCTTTCCATTGGTTTCCTGTTTCTCCGATCTTTGCCACGCCTTTCGATCGATGGGCACGTGGGTAAAGGAGACGTTAAAGGAGACACGATGCGATAGCACGTTTTCCAATTTGTCAAAAATCAAAATCATAATTTCGATCAAACAAGTCAATAATTTTTTAATCAACGTTTATTTTCTGTTAGTTCGGTTAGTTTGCCGTAGCACGCCGTCCGTAGACTACAGGTGGGGATTGTTATTGCTATTAACACAGTGGAAACTCTTTATTTTGTTAAGTAAAGCCACTTAATTGTGCTCTTCCTCATCCACAAGCGATGGATACCAGAGCTTCAAGAGAGCAAGCAGATTATCGCACCACTTTATTGGGAGGCTGTTTGACAGATCAACTGACAAACTGATCAGAGTGATGATTAATGATGTTGGTTGGGCTT